TGACTGAGGTAGTTAAATCACTTTGCTAAATGTTTTTCAGCTGTATTGATGAGCCCTTGTCAATTTTTAAAGAAATGTTCAATGTTAAGTTGTTATGAATTTGAACATTATTTACCCGACAAGGGCTCATGAATAGAGCCGGAAAACATTTAGTAAAGTGATTTAACTATCCCAGTCTTAAGGTTTTGTTTGTATTTAGTTGAAAATAAGAGCTGGGTTATAATAGATTGTTATAATATGCACATTCAAAATATACTATTGACAATTCAGTGATATATATTTATTGATTATCAATGACACTAGTATTTAAACTACACAAATTAATCAAAAATTTAATGAATACTTTTATTATTCAAAGTATCATCAGACTATATTCAAAGTATCATCAGACTATATTCACTATGTTATGTGTATGATGTAAGAAAATCTGTGAATACATAGTGCAGAGTTTTACACCAAAATGGTTTTATTGGAATTTGATTAAACTTCTAAATTATTTTTCAAGTGTATAAAAGCTTTTAAATTATAGAACTTTTTAATTTAACTTTTTTTAGCTGAAGATAAATATAGAGATTGTGGAAATTTAGAAAAAAGATTAGAACCTTCTCATAAAAAACCTCAAACAATGAGGGAGTTACTTGCTTCAATTCCTGGTTTAAGTTTAAAGGTATTGTAATATATACAAAAATTTTTAATAGTAATTTTTAATTCAAATTTATAATTTAATAATTAAGTATTTACTATTGTTTTAGCCAAGGAAGAGGTCAAATAAAAAGTTAAGTGCAGGTAATTATATTTCTATTATTTACTTTTTAGTATTATTTTTTAAAATGTTTATATATACAGTGGAACCTCTATATTCGTCATTAATTTGTTCCTAGTTCCTAAGGACCTAACGAATATGGGATATGAATATAGAAACAATTTTTCTCATAATAAATAACTGATATTCAATTACACTGTTCCCATCCTAAAAAAAAGGTACAAGAATAAAAATTATGTTGTTTGTAAAACTTTATTTTACTAAATAAATACAGTATAGTGGTAGAAAAGGAAGAAGAATAAGGTTATTATTGTTTAGAAGACATACCATCAATTAAAACATCAGGTAATTCCATTTATGATTATGGGGTCTGTTTTGCCAATGATTCAGTAGCACTCAATTTAATAAAGAACTTGTTAAGTGTTGTCTGTTTTTTGCCTGCTTTTTAAACCTTTCTGAAGTAGGCAATTACATTTTCATTGAATGCATTTGTATTTTGGTTGACTATAGCAACATTTGGGTGCCATTTTTCAACCATATTCTGCACTTTGACCCAATTAGTCAACATTTAATTAATATCAATGTTAGGTATGGATCCTTTACTTGACTCTTCCTCTCTGGACAAAATCACCTCAATTGTTTCAGTTTCTTGGTCTTTATGAAGTTCCAACAGTTCTGTGGTAAGTTCCCTTGCATGCTCCACAACCAATTCCTCTACATCCTCACAATCAACATCCAAACCCATATTGACCTTCCCAGACACACAATTTCTTCAACAACAGGTTGTGATTCAAAACCCCAAATATCTGTTTCTGGCACACATTCTGGCCATAGTTTCTTCCAGGCTGAGATCATTATCTTGGATGACACTTCTTTCCATGTCTTATCAATAATTCTCACACAGTGGAGAATATTGAAATGATCTTTCCAAAATTTTCTTAGTGTAAGTTTGCTTCCCGACATCACTTCAAAACACCTTTGAAACAGAGCTTTAGTGTACAGTTTTTTAAAGCAGGCAATGACCTGCTGATCCATCAGCTGAATTAGAGGAGTTGTGTTAGCAGGTAGATATTTAACTTGAATAAATCTAAGATCCTCCTCCTTCAAAAGGTCTTGGAAACTTGGAGGATGAGAAGCAGCATTGTCCAAAATCAAGAGGACCTTCACAGGTAAATTAAGGCTTTCTAAATAAGCTTTCACATGGATCCACTTCAAGAAAAACTGTCTTGTAACCAAGATAGTTTTTGCTGTCTGTTTGACTGTTTTGCCNTAATAGCGATATACTAATAAACTAATTACATGGGATATACTAATATCCTAATATACTATACTAATAATGTATTTTTTTCCTTCTTTTCGGTTATCTGATTTTTTCAGTTATCCGACCAATCTGAGTCCCCAATTGAGTTGGATAATCGATGCTCTACTATACTATCATTTACAGGAACAAAAGTTCATTTTGTGCTGAAAAGTTATTCAATGATTGTTTTTGCTAAATATAATGGATTTTATGATTTTTAAAAAACAATGCATTTTAAAATTTACATTGTTTTCTTTTATTTTTCATTGTTAACAAAATTATTGCTGTATATAAAAAGTAATTGCTGCATATTGTGCAGAACAGATTGCTTCAAGTAGTCAAAACACAAATTTTAGCAGATCATCACAGAAAAATTGCTATGATGTATACAAATTGGTCTACTAAATTAATTCACATGCCTAAAATTTTGATGCAATGCAACAAACACCTTAAATAATTTCATAATACTTTCAATTTAAAAAAGCATCAACTGATTGAACTGAAAAGTTAAAAGAAAGTGTATGAACTTAAATGTGGCACAGAATAGAGCTAATTGAAAAATTAAAACAAAGCATCTCAGCACTATGCGTTTGTGAAATTTAAAACAAAAAATACTGTTTCTGATGTCCCTAAATCAAAAACCATATTGCCTCATTATTGTTAACTCCAAATGTTGTTTTACAGATGCTTTATTTTTAAAACATCACCAACTTGTTTTTTTATAATTTAATAAATGCATATTCTGTATTGTATTAAAGTTATTTTTGCATTTAGTTATTTGCATTAGGATTTGAAAAGAGTATAAAATAGTAAAAATGATTTCCTTTGTAACAATTGGTTTTATGGACTTTTGGTGTTAATGGGCATCCATTAGCCTCTATTAGTTCATTAAATTGAGAGTTTACTGCATATTTTATTACAATAATATATTTTTTGAATTATTAGATCTATTACTTATTGCTATCATCTAATTCAGTTATCCTAAACTAGCAGGTAGGCCCGGTGTTGCTCAGGCAAAAGTACAATAGCAAAGATTAAGATTATTATGTTATAGTCAAACTTACCCGTTTTTACAGAATGCAACAATTGGGTCCTTGTTTCCAGACTAATTAGAGAATTTTTAGATGGGTCTAAAAATATGTTTGATTTCCTGCAAAAGTGAAAAAAACTGCATTTGCATCTTGCACATCGCTTTCTCTTAACAATTCCATTGTTACTTAATACTTCTATTGTTGATGGAAGTGTTAAGCCTTAATCCCGTCCCTCTCCTCCGTGGGGAGGAATTTTGAAAAATCCTTTCTTAGTGTGCGTTCTCATGACGTATCCTGTGTACCAAATTTCAACTTTCAACTCCTAATTGTTTGGGCACTGCGCTTATTATTATTATTATGTTGGGTTTAGTGGGTTATATTCGGTACACACCGGTGGCTGTGTACTATGCCGGACCAGAGTCAAGGCATAGCATCCAAAATAAAATTAAATAAGTGTGTCAGTGTCTGTATTCAGGAATTTCCTAACAATATGGCATGTATTCAATATAGTGGCCTTCTGTAGTGTGATGTATGTATTTGTATTCAATTGTAATGTTCCCAGGCAGGTAGTGTGTGTGGTATCAACCTGTGCAAGAGAGAATGAGAGGTACAGTACAATAAGCACCCTTTCCATCCTCCACAGATGCCTTATTTCCTGGGCGAATTCTGTGTACTTGCTAATTTTTTCAGTGCATGTGTTTTGTACATTGTGAGTGTTTGGAATGGCTATGTCTATGATGTATGTGATTTTATTGTATTTGACAATGATGTCTGGTCTGTTGTGGTAAATTGTTTTATCTGTGATTATGGCTCTGTCTTAGTACAGTTTGTGCGTGTTGTTTTCTGATACAGTCTGTGGAATGTATTTGTAGTATGGTTCGTGCATGTCTAGTAATTTATGTTTGTTTGCAAGCTATTGGTGTATTATATTTGCTACTTGATTGTGTTTGTGTAAATAATCTGACTGTGCCAAGAGCTTGCAACCAGATATGTTGTATAGTTTCTGCCATGATGTGACATTTTCTGCATGTGTCATTTGCGAGTGTTGTATCTTTGAGTATGTGTTTTCTGTAGTTTTTAGTATTTATGATCTGATCCTGTATGGCAATGATGAATCCTTTTGTCTTCCCAAAGAGGCATCCCCTATCTAACCAGCTGTTTGATGCAGTTTTGTCAACAAAATCCTGGGCCAGGTCGTAAGGATGCCTGCCATGGAGAGCCTTTTGAGCCCATGATTGCTTAATGTTGTCTATTAAGGTTGTCTATGCTTTTTATATGTTGTGTCATGTCTGTATGTTGTGAGCAGAGCCGGCCCTACCATAGGGCGAAAGGAGCAGCCGCTCCAAACGCTAAGTCCTAGGGGGCGCCTCAGTGGTAAAGAAAATTAAAGGGTAAAAATTTGGGGCAACCAGGGGCAGTGGCGTAGCGAGGGGGTGCAAGGGGGTGTATCAAGCACCGGGTGCCACTCGCAGAGGGGCACCCAAATGGTCTCCAAGACAAACTATATGTGTTTCTGGAGGGGGCGCCAATAAAGTGTTGTGCGCCCCCTCCAGAGTGCCAGTTATGTTCACTACGCTACTGACCAAGGGGGCGCCACAATAGGATCTCGCTCCATCCTAAAACTTGCTTCGGGCCAGCACTGGTTGTGAGTGTAAGTTTAATGGTGTGTTATTTGAGTCTGCTAGAGTTACTGCTTTATGTAACTGTGATGTTTCTTGTTTCTTGTAGAAAAAAACTCTCAGTGATTGTATTTGTTTATAGTGAAGGTTAACTATGTCAATCAGGCCACGTCCGCCATCTTTACGTGGAAGGGTTAATCTTTCTGTGGCGGATTTAGGATGATGTTGTTTATGCTTAGTAAGTGTTGTTCTNAATCTGTGAATACATAGTGCAGAGTTTTACACCAAAATGGTTTTATTGGAATTTGATTAAACTTCTAAATTATTTTTCAAGTGTATAAAAGCTTTTAAATTATAGAACTTTTTAATTTAACTTTTTTTAGCTGAAGATAAATATAGAGATTGTGGAAATTTAGAAAAAAGATTAGAACCTTCTCATAAAAAACCTCAAACAATGAGGGAGTTACTTGCTTCAATTCCTGGTTTAAGTTTAAAGGTATTGTAATATATACAAAAATTTTTAATAGTAATTTTTAATTCAAATTTATAATTTAATAATTAAGTATTTACTATTGTTTTAGCCAAGGAAGAGGTCAAATAAAAAGTTAAGTGCAGGTAATTATATTTCTATTATTTACTTTTTAGTATTATTTTTTAAAATGTTTATATATACAGTGGAACCTCTATATTCGTCATTAATTTGTTCCTAGTTCCTAAGGACCTAACGAATATGGGATATGAATATAGAAACAATTTTTCTCATAATAAATAACTGATATTCAATTACACTGTTCCCATCCTAAAAAAAAGGTACAAGAATAAAAATTATGTTGTTTGTAAAACTTTATTTTACTAAATAAATACAGTATAGTGGTAGAAAAGGAAGAAGAATAAGGTTATTATTGTTTAGAAGACATACCATCAATTAAAACATCAGGTAATTCCATTTATGATTATGGGGTCTGTTTTGCCAATGATTCAGTAGCACTCAATTTAATAAAGAACTTGTTAAGTGTTGTCTGTTTTTTGCCTGCTTTTTAAACCTTTCTGAAGTAGGCAATTACATTTTCATTGAATGCATTTGTATTTTGGTTGACTATAGCAACATTTGGGTGCCATTTTTCAACCATATTCTGCACTTTGACCCAATTAGTCAACATTTAATTAATATCAATGTTAGGTATGGATCCTTTACTTGACTCTTCCTCTCTGGACAAAATCACCTCAATTGTTTCAGTTTCTTGGTCTTTATGAAGTTCCAACAGTTCTGTGGTAAGTTCCCTTGCATGCTCCACAACCAATTCCTCTACATCCTCACAATCAACATCCAAACCCATATTGACCTTCCCAGACACACAATTTCTTCAACAACAGGTTGTGATTCAAAACCCCAAATATCTGTTTCTGGCACACATTCTGGCCATAGTTTCTTCCAGGCTGAGATCATTATCTTGGATGACACTTCTTTCCATGTCTTATCAATAATTCTCACACAGTGGAGAATATTGAAATGATCTTTCCAAAATTTTCTTAGTGTAAGTTTGCTTCCCGACATCACTTCAAAACACCTTTGAAACAGAGCTTTAGTGTACAGTTTTTTAAAGCAGGCAATGACCTGCTGATCCATCAGCTGAATTAGAGGAGTTGTGTTAGCAGGTAGATATTTAACTTGAATAAATCTAAGATCCTCCTCCTTCAAAAGGTCTTGGAAACTTGGAGGATGAGAAGCAGCATTGTCCAAAATCAAGAGGACCTTCACAGGTAAATTAAGGCTTTCTAAATAAGCTTTCACATGGATCCACTTCAAGAAAAACTGTCTTGTAACCAAGATAGTTTTTGCTGTCTGTTTGACTGTTTTGCCTTATTGGTTGACCTCCACATCACATTTAGGTTATCTTTTTTGACATTAATCTTTATAAAAACTCAGGTTTTCTGAATGGTACACCAGTAGTGATTTGATTTTGCAGTCACCACTAGCATTACTACATAGCATGAGTGTTAACCTGTCTTTCATTGGCTTGTGTCCAGGCAGTGCATTTTCCTCTTGTGATGTAGATTCTTTTCGGGAATCTTTTTCCAAAATAGGCCTGTCTCATCACAATTAAAAACTTGTTGAGGACTAAATTTCTCAGTGTATACATACTTGCTGAAATCTTCAACAAACTGTTTAGCACCTTCTGCATTTGAGCTTGAAGCCTCACCATTACAGAATGAATGACTGTTCATCTTTTAAATTTTTTGAACCAGCCCTACCTGCTATGAACTGACCACTGGTTCCTGGACTTTTGCTGTAGGTCGTCATATAATTTCTTAGATTTTTCACAGATGATTGCTTCTGAAATACTATCACCAGCCATTTGCTTCTCAGTAATCCACAACAATAAGAGCTTTTCCATGTTTTCAATTGTTTGTGATCTCCTAGCAGCAAGGATTTTGACACTTTTTGCAACATCAGCCGTTTTAATTTCCTCTTTTATTTTTTATTATGCTGCATATAGTAGTTCTCAGCATACTAAATTCTTTGGCTAAGTTTGAAACACTTTGTGCATTTTCAGACTTAGAAATAATTTTTTTTCTACCTCTATTGTTTTAACAGCTTTCCTTTTTTTGCTGTTTTTCTTCAATGCACTTTGTTGGAGTCATTGGAACTTGAGTTTTTGAAAATAATCAATGTGAGAAACCAAGAACACACACGACTTCCCACAAAGCAGACTAATTAACTACAGCTAGCTAACAGTGTTGCCAACTCAAAATTCAAATTTATGGCTAGACATTTTAATAAAAATATTCAAATCATATTGTTTCCATTAAAATTGTTTGATTTTTTTTTTATAGCTAGATAGCACTATACAAATAGATAGGCCATTATAATTTAGATAATTTGCATAGCTAGATTGTTCATAAATCCACTAAATCTAACAAAAAATTAGCTAAATTGGCAACACTAATGTAATACAGCTAGCTTATTGGTGCAGTCGTGCAATTGTAGCACCACTGTTGGAAATTACGACAAATACAGAAAATACTGATGAATATGGAGGAAAAGAAAGGTTATCAAAATACATTCGACCCCCCCCCCCCTATAACGTGGGTTACTATAACGGAGATTCCTATAACGTAGCAAAAAAAATTGCGACAGTATTCGTATAAGGATGCTAAAAGGGACTCATAAAACATTGTCGCTGACTTGTGTCGCGACAGGATTGGTCGAATCTGGACCAATAGTGGACAAGCAGCCGAACTACTTTCCGCCGTCCAGCGCCATGCTATGGAGAGTTTAGGCGGGTAAATTGAGTTTACTATCGTCTGTACAGTATGTAAATTAGGTATCATAAGTCTAATATAGCACTGTAATTTTATACACTTCTTGTGAAAGAAACATTTCTTATTCAACAGCCATAAAAATTATTTGTATTAATGATGTCTCCAAAGGACAACAAATTTTTCGCAGAAAAATAAGTTATCAGAAATCGTGGCCACCGTTTGGTGCGCTGCTCTGCGACGAAAACAAGCTTAAGCAATGGCGATGTCGAATGGTACATACTCAGTAAGTAATCCTACAATTTTTTGTTTGTAGCATAGTTTATACGGATTATTTCAAAAAAATTATACGTGTTTTGGAAATGTTGAGTCGAATTAGTCTAGAATTGATTAATTTTATGGAAGAAAACTTTTCAAACAGCCATAGTCCGTAAACTTCACACTTGTTGGGTTGTGATTGGCTCATGTATTTAAGGATTTTTACAATGTGAAATTCGAATAACGTGGAACGTATCTAAGCGTTATAGGGGGGTCTACTGTATTACGAATATAGAGGTTTCACTTTACTATATTTTCCAGTATTGAAAATAAAAACACTAATTAAAAAATTTAAAGTGATTTAAATATAACTGATTTGAAGGTATCCTAAAATATTTAGCTTGGAAGGGAGACTATTTTCAAGGGGGTTTTTAGTTTGGATTTAAATTTATTTTTGGAGATTTATTTTTACTAGTATTTTATTTTATATTTATTTAAATAAATTTGATTATTTAAATTTAATTATCAAGTGAATGAATTCAAATTTATTATAAAGGATAATTTTTTTTCTTACTATTTAGTTACTTACATTTTTAGTTTCCATGGTTAAGGCATGTTAAAAATTAACGATAATTTATAAAATAGCCTATTATTTTGAGCTAAAATTTATTCATTTATCTAATAGAAAGTATTTAACAAGCTGTTCTTATTGAATAATAATAATAATTATTATTTAAATTTTTTTATAGTTTTTTTTATTAGACAGTCTAACTCAGTGGTTTCCAAAGTAGGTGCTACTGTACCAGGGGACAGTGAGTAAATCTAGGGGGGAGCAAAAAGAAGCAAGGGGGTGTCAGGGGCACTGGAGGCAGACCGAACAATGACTATAAGTGAGGGTTTGGGTCACTGACAACATTTTCCTTTCCTCCATTAAAATGGATAAGAAGAAACATTGCACTTAATAGTTTTCAGATATTGACAACAATATCTGAAAACTATTATTTATGGTAAAGACACAGAGTGAGGTTAATAGAAAATCTTTTTTAAGAATATTTCAAAGCCTTTTTCATATGAGAGAAAAACAGGTTGAGGGGCATTGGAGTACAGTTGGAGGTGTCAAGGGATAAGTTTATGGAACCAAGGGGTGTTGGCTCAGAAAGTTTTGGAATCACTGGTCAAACAAGTCACTCGGGAATCACTTGTCTAACATAGACAAAGAATGCTAAAGATAATCTTTACAATATATTATAACTTTGATAAAAATTTAAGAAATTGATAATATAAAAATATTTGTTTTTAAATAAGTAAAATAGAATTAGAGAATAGTTCAAACACAACTAACAACACTATAGTAAATAGAAAAAATGAAACCATTAAAACCATCAGAAAAGTTTAACACTAGCAAATTTAAGAATAAATATTAAAAATATTTATTCTTAAATTTGCAGGACAAAAAATATTGGGGAAAAAAGTCACAAAATTGAAGACAGAATATGAAAATTATTCTGAAGTCTGAACATTCATCCACAACATTTGAAACAGAATTAACACTAGTAGAGTCAACCTTTCTTTAAAGGCTCTTTTCCACCTACACGTAAGCAAATTGTTTTAATAGTCTCTTTAGCATTGGATTTTTGTTAAAACTTTCAGTGACAAAGGAACTATTAAATAATTTGCTAAGTGTAGGTCATCTCTGCCTACACTGTTTAGCCTGTTTAGAATGCTAGAGAAGCGGAGGTGAGCCAGAAGTTCTGAGATTATTCTTCATTTGTTAATGTATAGATTTATTTATATTTATGGAACCAATCTGTTCCAGTCACAAAGTTGTTTGTAGGTGATATCTAATTACTAAAAGTTAAGTTCTTGAAGATTAGAACATTTGGAAACTTCAGTGAAATTAGTTTTAAATTTAACAAGAAAGTTAAATGTCATTTCATTTTAAAATAATTAAATTGATTTGGATCAAAACATTCTATAAATAATAATATAGTAGAAACAAGAAATATTAATTTAATTGATTCATATGTTACAAGATTGGATACATTGTAATAGAAATTTATGTAAAACATCCAAACTCTAGCAGTAAAGTGGAAAAT